ATATAGTCAAGTTTGGGCAAAGAATGTGATGTCCATGATTTCTTCAAATGTCAATTTATTGCCCCGTAAAGTAAAATATAGTTATCAATGATCCAGTTCTCAATAAGTCCTCATAATGTCAAGTAACTAAAATAATTTCTATTGCATAAATGTTAAATGGCTCAGTTCAGTTACAAAAACAGAAGTCAATTGAATCCCCCAAAGATGAGTCATCGGTCGATCAAATAGCTGCATCAACACTATTATTGTTATTATTATTATTATTACTATTATTATTATTATTATTATTATTATTATTATTATTATTATTAGTAGTAGTAGTAGTAGTAGTAGTAGTAGTAGTAGTAGTAGTAATAGTAGTAGCAGTAGTAGTAGTAGTAGTAGTACTGTAGACTCAAGCTATGAGCTGTAAGCCCCAAAAAAGTAGCATAGCTCCACACATCTTGATTATCCAACCTTCATATTATACATCATGTGACGAAGCTAACAATAATTCGTGATAAGACAACTTAATTATGGTGACAACAACTTTCCTCTAACACAGTTCACATATTACATCACTTCACTGACAATCGAAAAGGTTTTCGAATTTCAGTAATGCTTCAGGGTAAATACTTAGTTTTCGTGTATGTGACAAGCGAAAAGTTTTTTCGAGGACTTCATATGAGTATGAAACAATTTACTTACCTGTTAATTTTTATTTCACTAAATACAAAATTCCGCTAATCCACCCAGTAACCGCCAAAAAAATAAACCCTTTATTTAAACTACAACTAAAAACGCTCTTTTTTATTTGCCCGTTTTTAGTTCGCGAAGTATTCACCTTATTTTCAAGTGTTTTATATTCATATGTTTTAAATTTGTATGCATATATTATTTGCCCAGATCTGTCAACCCTGACTTCTGTCAATAAACTGATAGTCTGTTGCAATATTCCATGTTAGGAGAGAAAGAAGAAATGGAGTATAAAGGTATTCTAGTTCGAGCTATATGTTACCGCCGCCTACTTTATTGCACATCAGGTTTGTTGAAATTAAGGAATTTTACTTTAAATGAAATCACTTGACCAATAGGTCTACAGATAGAATCCCCATAATACAGATGATAATAACTATTTAGTAGCTTACACAAATAACAACCAAATTATTAAAAAAATATTCATTAAAACCCACCAGGATAATTCTAGTAAGTGCACTCAGTTTGATGGTCAACACAAACTGAATACTAGTATAGGGGTTGTGGAGATTATTAAGTTTTTGATTGAGATCATGAACCGATTGATGTTATACCATCACAATTGAAAACCTGGGAGCACTGGACGGCCGTTTCGTCCTATTGTGGGACTCCTCAGCAGTGCGCATCCACGATCCCGCGAGCGGGGTTCGAACCCAGGGCTTTCGGTCTCGCGCACGAACGCTTAACCAACTGAACCACTGAGCCGGCATCCAATGGTGATAGTTTCTAACATCAACCAATCCGCAATAGGACGAAACGGCCGTCCAGTGCTTCCAGGTTTTCAATTGTGATGGTATAACACCAATCGGTTCATGATCTCAATCAAAAACAAACTGAATACTTTATCAATAACAAATACAAAACGATAATTGAGCAAGAAAAACCTATGCTACAAAAATTGAACGCAATAATAATAACATACCGGCTTAATGCTTCTATTTCTACAATTAGTTTGTTAGATTCTTCATAAATAGACGGATCTGGAGGAATAGGGCGCAAACTTGGTGGAAGTAAAGCTGGTGGAAGTACATTAGGAAGGGTACGATTAGATAAGCCCGCAGATAACTGTTCCGTTGCCAAATGCATGGCCACTGTAAACTGTTCACTGTAAATACAAATAAAATTCTTACAAGATAAAATACAGCTCAAATTCTACTTTAAAATAAAATGGACAAAATGACTAAGAATTTACAATTAATGGTGCGACAAAGTGTTCGATATTCCAAACATGGATCCTAAAGCCTGGTAAGATAGTGAAAACATCGTTATTACGCCTAAAAAGCTACAGATCATACGATAAAAATAAAGATATAATATACATGCAGTAATATATAGCTAAAGACAGTTAGATATGTAGCGGAGTATACCAATAGAAACTAATCATAGAAGTAAAGTGAAATACAGCATCATAACGAACTGTAATAGCAACCGGAAAATTATAATATTTACTTATCAGTGAAGACAAATAAAGTATCGCAGATAATGTAGAAATGTTAATTGAATTGAAAGACATTTACCTGTTTAACAAACCAGTATTTTGTATATCAACCAGCTCCCATATATGAGCGAGAATATCTTGAGGTAAACCGGATCGCATCAGAATATCTCTCACTTCAGGGCCTGAAACTAACCCATCAGCATCCATATCTAGGGCAGCAAAAACTCTCAGATTTTTTGCATGTTCGTCTGCTGAAATAGCCCATTCTGGAAAATTATACGACTGAAGATAAGGTTGATGACCAGACAGAGCCCAAACAGTGGGAGTTGTATGAGTTGACTGTGTAGTTAATGTTTCACCGGTTGGAAAAGCCTAATTGATTCAAATGTTTGCAGTAAAAAACAGTAATATTATCTAAATTAAATTGTATACTTTTTCTGAAAGTCAACCATATGTTCATTCGCTAGTAATGTAAGAAAAATATTTTATCATTATTGATTTCAGCCCGAGCTTTATGAATTACTTATGAGAGTAGCAACACACCTAACGACTAGGTACCTTTTGAAACAGTTAGTCACAACAAAACGAGTAGAAATTTAGGTATAATTACGTTACAATGAGAATAAAGTTTCTCTGAATAAATAAATCGGTGGGGGGAGCAAATGTGTACTTGATGAAATCATCACTATTAGGACGACCACTGTATTGCATAAAACCATTAATAGTAATAATAATAATAATAATAATAATAATAATAATAATAATAACAATAATAATAATAATCTAACACCAGAATATCTACAGAGAGCCAAGTTAATTCGAACTGATAAATTATTTTGATACGATGCCCAGGCCTAACAGTGATGTTCTATTTGATTGCAGAATGAGACCTACGAGCTAATTCCTTTTCATCACCTTTGATATTTTATTATGTTTTTTTTTCTGTTTTTATAATCTGTAAATAAGCATTTTATTTTATTACATAAAAATCTCATCTGGCCAGTGGTGTTGCCTACATCAATAATCAGTTCTTGTAAGCAGCCATAACGCGGCACACTTAGTGTCACTCGTTACCATTTATCGATTAGCATTTTATCTAAAAGCCGATAATTCCGTATCACTGATCATTGAAAACCTTTCCCATTCAAGTGCAGACTGATAACCAATGGCTTTACATATTTTTATTCATGTTTCCGTTTGTAGATAGGTTTATTTTTGCTTTAACTAAAAATAAATGTTGTACACGTATCGTAGGAAATACACTGAGTATAGCCCCCAAATGCCCTGGGTATGGCCGAGAGTGGGGAGTCAGCTCTCCCTCTCGACATCCTCTCACATATCAACGCGTTTACGGCCACTATCAGAGAATTCCTAGTGACTGACTTCTCGCGGCGAATGTCTTGTTTACGAAGTTGAGAGGACGAAAAGCGAATGTTCGGCGCCTTAACCGGGTTGGTGGAAACAGAGGGTCCACCTAAGGGGGTTGGAAAACCCTGATTTCATACCAATGGTGCACATATGCTCCAGGATCTTAAAGGAACAAATGGCGTATGAACCAATCGTTGGTCACTGACTACCATGGGACTGCATCTATTTACGTTGCTCCACTGCCTTATGGATCAGACCTGTAAGTCGAAGGCTCTGGATGTGACCCCCTAAGAAAACAACCTGCTTCGGTCTGGGCACCCGAACAGTATTACAACCCACACACAAATCAACTGACTTGTGTGGCGCATACGTGTTCGGTGTGCCTTTGTACTAATATTTATATATTCAAATAAATAGATAAAATAAACACTAAATATACAATCTCAGTAACTGATCGACACAGCTTAACAACAAAATCTACGAACAAACGAAAGGGACACCAATGGGATCACCAATATCAGGATTGATCACAGAGGCAGAGATGCAAAGACTAGAAGCCGCTATATTACCAGTGATCAAACCAAAAGTTTGGATTCGCTATGTAGACGACACCTTCATCATCGTCAAAAAGAATGAACTAGAAAACACTTACAAACTAATCAACAACATCTTCGATGACATTAAGTTCACCATGGAACAGGAGTCAAACAACAATTGATCACTAGAACCGACACAGAAAAACTGGAAACTCAAGTATATAGGAAACCGACCCATACAGATCAAATTCTCAACTACAATAGCAACAACCCAAGAGCTCACAAAATCAACTGCGTACGCAATTTGTTCAAGAGGGCGAGGACACACTGAAGCACACTGGCAGCACGAAGAAATGAAGAGAAATACCTGAAGGATGTATTTCAGAAGAACGGCTACCCAATAAACTCCATCAAAAAATACCAACCGCACGCAGCATTAGAACTCAAATCAAGCACAAAAATCAACAGAAGGATCACCCTACCATATATACAAGGAATATCAGAAACCGCAACGAGACTGCTGAAAACCTTCGGAATAGGTGTGGCACATAAACCAACAAAATCACTACAATCAATCCTATGCAAACCAAAAGATGAAATAACAAAGGAAAACAAATCAAACATCATCTACAAAATAAACTGTGCCAACTGCGAAAAACACTACATTGGACAAACCGGATGCCCCTTTCACCTTCGCCTACATGGACATCAATTAGCAGTCAAACGCCGTGATACTTCCTCACTTATATCAATACACGTGAACAACTGCGGACACCCATTCGATTCGAAAAATGTGGAAATCTTAGACAGAGGAAACTCCAAAAACACCAGAGAATTTCTAGAAACCTGGCACTCAGGTCAATCAGCAATCAACAAACATATTGAAATCAATCCAATTTATCAACCAATCAGAAAAATCATGCACAAACATAAGAAAAAAAACCAAAACAATGGGAGACAACCAAAACAAAGGAGTAAACAATGACAAATTTAAGGTCAATAAGGACCAATCAACATCGAGGTGCGCGGAACAAGCTTTGAAACACATACGGAGAAATTCAAACACTTCACTTCTATCTGAAGTTTGTGCTGATGATGTCGTTCAGAAGAACGATGAAAGCTCCACGACCAAACCATCCAGCTCAGAGAACAAAACTCCACCAAAAACAACTTAATCACAAACATCCTACTTTAGAAGTCTAATTGCAGACTAGCGGTTCCTCTAATTGATTGGGATTCAAACGACCGCCATTATCCCCAACTTTTAAATCTAAAAGATTATTTTAGACTAGTGGTCAAAATTAAGAGCAGTACTTAGTTCCACGAATTATTTTGAGATTAAGGAGATAAATAGTTACATATTCACTCTGGTACTTTACGATGGTTAGTTTATGGTTTGTCAAGAAGTAACTGATAGTCCTAACCCCGTTTATTCTTCAAATTTTAATTAAAAATATGGAAAAATCGATTTCTCAGTATTAGATATACTGAGTGTCAAATGTGAACTAAATTTCCTTCGATCATCCTAATCCCACCACGATATAGGCTCAAGGAAACAGTTCTCGTTGACAGGTTAGAAGTAAGAGTTGAGGAGCTCAAACACTGTGTTTGACATAAACACTATTAGCAACAGTTTGAAAAAAAATAAACTAATGTGAATGAGATTATATTGTCCAAAAACTTACAATATAATGGCCGGTAAGCTAAACAACCCATATATCAAATAAACTAATCACTCAATTTCAATCAAATTTTGAACTCGTCACTAGAACTTTTTTCTAACAGTCACTAACATAAAAACGACGAATTTTTTTGAGTTTAAGCAGTTTGACATCATCACTATTAACATGACAGGGTCCTGAGTATTACAGGTACTGATCATACTTAAATTGAAATACATTGACTGATCCATTCCCAACAAATTAGTACTAGTGGTTGAATCGCGATGGTATATTCTTACGTAAATTATATACATAGTCTAAAGTTTCTAATTCTGTATGTCTGCTGTTCAGGTTTGCTGGAATATGCATCGTCTCTTCTTATATGGTGTTGATTTGGGGGGAGTTAACTGGAACCATCGTGGTCAGGGAACACTAGACAGCAAAAGAACACAACAGCTATATAAGACAATAGTCTGGGTAATATGTAGAAATGTAAACTGCATTCACTGTATTATATTACGGACGGAATTATTAAAGCGAAGTTTCAAAGTACTACAAGACCAGTTTGCCTTATGCTAGTAAAAGCAGAGAAATTTAAGTGAGTAAAATCAAAAAAGGATCAATTAATATTTATGATAAGTGAAATCATTAAGCTGGATCAATAATGAAGATTGAAATATTTTATTACTCACGGATACAAGCGCTGATAAATATCCAGTACTCTGTTTTGGATTTAATTCTGATGTAGACTGCACAGGGACTAGTGCCAAATTAAAATCAGCATCACTAGTAATAGGCGGTAAACACAACATGGAATTATTAATAGACGTAGAGTTTGAAAAATAATGTTCTTTGTCAGGAGGAACTAAATTCTTTGGTAGTTTGTCCGGTAATATTTTACCCTCCAGTGACTGATGGACCAAATGCATAGCCTACAATCAAAATCGTAATAAATATTTATCGAATTAAAAAAAGCTGTATTATCCTAAACACAATTGTACAGATTTAAAGGTGTATAGAAACTTAGGATGTATGGAGTAAGGTTTCCGTGTCCTGACAACCTGACAAAAATTCGAACTCGTTTCAATACTCAGTGTGTAGTGAATAAGAACACGAGTGAGGACAATGGAATGTATTTGAGCACAAAACTACAGGGCATCTCAACAAAATCTGAGAACCGTATAGTAAATCGTTAATTTGCAAAATATCAATCCATCATCTCAAACTTGACCGTTCTTGTCGCAAACATCAATCCATTGTTTCAGATTTCATTGTTCATGCGTTTTCATACCAATTGCGTTCCGTTACTGTTCTTTCCTCATCGATCTTCTGCTGAAACACATTCTATGCCTGACCACCCTTATATACTACTTATATAAATATAAGTAACCCGCACCACAAGTGTAGTTTCACACGAATATTTCAAGCTTATGGAGAACTGTTACCCAAATTGATTATTTCAAGCGGTGTTCCCCAGAGTTTTCCGCTCTCCTCATCTTTATTTAACTCTGTCAAACAAATAATTTCAGAAATAACACCTTTATCTTCTACCAGGAGATTCACTTGTTGACTTAGAATACGCAGATGATATACTGCTATTCAGTGAAGAGAATGGCAAATTCCGGAATCTTATGACCCCGTTAAGCTACAAGGCAAGTATGTTTGGGATTCGATTCTTTCCCTCCAAATGAAAAATGTTGCTTTGGAATTGGCATGTGTCGGCGCCTGAATTAATGTTAGGGAGTGAAGTAGTTGGACGTACCGACCGCTTTACTTATCTTGGGAGCCTCATCAGTCCTGGTGCTCTGGTATCTGAAGAAATTTCAGCACAAACTCAGAAATCTCGATCGGCATTTGTCAACTTGCATCACTTGTGGCGTAGGAGAGATATTCATCTATCAACAAAGGACGAGTTTACTGTGCACCGTTTCACTTTATGGATGTGAAGTATACTCATTAAGGATAGCACTAGTATTCAATCACGCTTGTCTTCGAAGCACTGATCGTGTTTTGGAACCACAAAGTAAGCAATGCCTAGGTTAGGCATAGAGCACAAGTTAAAGATGTCGATTCGGTTGGTCGGGTAACGAATTCTCATCAACTGAGGTGGTTGGGACATGTGTTACATATACCCAGCTACTGCCTACCTCGACGGGTGATGTTGTTTGGTGTAAGGGTGAGCTGGAAGAATCCGAGGGGCGGTCAAACCAAAACACCGCATCACTCCATGAAGTCACTGACAATTGGACTGACTCGTGTGTTAACAGGTGTAAAATACCTGGTTGAAGCATACATGATTTTCGTAACCAGTGGTTAGAGACTTAGAATGATATGGCTCAAAATCGTTTGTAATGACACAGGTGCATCAATTCTTTGTCTTCTCCCAGTTCTAAGCTTCGGAATGCCTCATAATCTTTTTCAATTCACCAACTTAGATTTCCTTCTCGAATCGTATCTTCGATGAGTAATTTTTCTATTATCACTGATACTGTTACTAGCTACGTTATTCCGGGATTTGGCCTGATAATTTCATCGCGCTGTGCTGATAGGATATATGAACTTGAACCAATGTACACACTTACAAGGTTCTACGTTGCAAACGATTGACTTATGTGACTAAAACTAAGTATTTGGAATTGAGGCATGAATAACGCAGACTGTATTGATACAAATTGCAGACTGGAAGTGAAGGTTAGAACACAATATAGTAGAATATCAGAGATACAACTGAATCACTAAAGATTCAAACTGACAAATAATAAATGATGAAGGTAAGAGAATGAGATACAGTTAATTACCGTCCACATTCAATAAGATTGGTCACTTATGCGTCAACTTGAGCCGATATTCACTTGCATCAGGTTCTTACATTGTTTATGACTGGATGGTTGATGATTTATTTCACATACTTTTATCTAGATGTTATTTCAACAATCTAAGAAGTATTAAATACACAATTGTCTGACTTGAAAAAAATTAATTCAGCTGATGCGAATCAAATTGGTCAACTTTCCAGCAAATGCTAGTTAAATGATTGGAGGACAATTCAGAGTATATAATTATGTAACACATAAGGAAGTCTGAGCTTTCTGAGAAGGCTTGCACCAAAGAACAATGACTTCATAAGCGGAAACCATTTGTTTTAAGGGTTCCCGGGACTCTTTCAAACAATCTTATGCTGGGGAAGACGAACCCACTGAAATAATTAATGGCACGAGTAAAACACACCGGGGCGATAAAAATGATGACAATAAGTAACCAACCAGTAGGGTTATTTAATGAGAACTAAGACCTATAAGTGTTATTACACACTTCTCTACCGTAAGAAAATATCAGACATAGTAGCACTAACTAATAATAATCAGTGAAATTTTGACGAGAATCCTAAGAGAAAATTATACTGAGATTTAGTATAACGATTATAGGCATGAAAAACTAAGTTACGAATATCACTTTAAACTTACAACAATGAACTCGCTCTGATCTAGACTACCATCATTATCAATATCTGAAAGGTCCCATATTTTTCCAAGAGTTTCAACTGGTAACTGAAACTTTAAAAATACCTGGGAAAAAACGAATGGTCAAATCAGGAACTATATATAGCATATTGATGACAAAAAGTTTAGTCACGGGTCTCAATAAGTTTATTCTTTTGTGTATTTGACGGTGTATAAATGAAACAGCGTAAAAACATATCAATTGTTCTCAATTAATCACTATCGTTATTTCATTGATTGTAGCCAGTTGTAGTTCGGAAACATCTGTTTAGAATAGCCAAATAATTAAGTAATTTTAGTTTAGAATAGATTTTTAATATCATAAAACTGTTTAAACGTTAAAAGGTTATAGCACTAGGATAAGAAATATGCACGCTATCCACACACATTCTACTTTTACGGAAGTTCAGTATTCCTTTTTAGGTGATGTACCTATGGAGACTGAATTAACTAGTTGAACCAAAGTACCTAATCGTTGGTGGACTAATGCCCATTTGAAAGGAAATTACTAAAAATAAAGAAGTTCGATGTCTTGTGGAAGTATTACATATAACAACAGCTATTCTTGCAACTGCGAAAGAAATTTTAAATCTTTGAGTACAGACCGACGTGAGCGAACCATTGTATTTTCAAGATGTTTTAAGAGGATATCAGTGATAATTGATACTTGATTATAAATGAAATGTGGAATAAATTAGTATTTCCACAAGAAGTGCTAATTCATGTACCAGACTATGATTTAAATCCGTTACGCAACAACTGGGTATGATAGCTAGGGACTGAGACTTAAGTATATGAATGGTGTTCAAACTCCTGTCTTCGACATTGTAAGTGATTCCAGATATGCCGGAGTATTTGCCACTTTAATTTAAAAATTAATTCACGCAGATAAATGAAGACAAATGGAGTCAATAGCGTTCGGAGAAAAAAGGATTACGTCCAAAAATAACAGAATAGCTATTTTTAAAGCACTGCAGACGTTCCAACCAATTCAATAGATGATAGTTTCCCAGCTTTCTTAGGACTGTATTCAATATAATAAGCAATAATTTCACTAGGTTAAAAAATGTTGCTCAACAGAATCACATTAATCTAAACTAATGGCAGTCGGCAAACAAAATTCCACAAACCTCTCTAATTTTTTCCCCAGATAATTTCCCATAGGTTGGCTGAAGTTGATCGAAAATCGTTCTATACCTATACGCATCAGGAACAGAGATCTCATAAGCCATCTTTGAAGTCTAAGAATATCACCTGAATTAAATAAAAAACGTTTAGCATTCAATTAAATAATATAAAAACAATATAAGAGACAATTATTTTTCCGTCGAAGCACAGCACATATACGAGGTATGACATAACAGGGCGCGGAATTTTGGTAAAATAGTTTTGGCATTATAGTTGATGTCAGTTCGTGATGAAAACCCTAGATAATATTCCAACCAAAACAGTAATATTCTGTGGCTCTGAGGTAAAATACACTGAACAATTTCGTACAAAGTTTTAATGAAAACTTAAAGTAATTGGAGTCACACACAGTTAAAAGAACTTGTCACACAGGAGAAAATATATACAACTGGTAGTTAAATTCCTACATTGTGGTTAATGCACCAAATAACAATAAATCATGTCAGCCAACAATGTACAATGCACTTCCAACCAACTTCATTTCGTCGTAAACGTTTGTGTTATTCGAAAGAACTGAAGAATACAATTCCAACTACTTGAATTGCTGTACGAAATGTTCCAGATTGTTCAGTTTAAGACTAAAAGAGGATTTGGTAAATTATATCAATAATAGCCTAAAAACAGTCATTTGAAAGCCGGATATCGATTAAAAATCACTCATTAACAACATGCAAAATTCTACATTAAGAATAAAAATGGTTCAAAATATAAATTAATGTGGGCGACCCTAGCATTTTATTAGTGGCCACCATAAATACGCACCAGGGTAACTGTCATGTAATCTGAACATAAATATCCACGCAACATGAATATTGAGGTCGCCATTAGGATACTAAGAAAAAACATGCATGGGATGAAACTTATACCAAGCAGTAGAATGAAACAGCGGTCAAACGTCTTCAGCATTCTCAGTTACACCTTCTGTAGTCAATATTTTCAGCCACATTTCCGATGAGTGTCTGAAGCTTATATAAACTGTCATTGATTTCGGTTTCAAAAAGATGAAAAATGAGTTATATAAGAAATTCTTGGAAGCTTATCAATAAGTTGTGGAACCGACACTTAGAGGTGACTGTTACCTTAGAATAATGAAAAAACGAGGGGAAGAGGGCCTAAAGAGCGTGAGTAAAGATACTTATACCTCACTAATCACTACCAAGAATTTTAATAAGGCAAACTAGACAGCACACGAAACCTTGAACAATTTGCATGGCCATGCCTACACTCATACGAAAATTATTTATTTTAAGTTTGAGATTTCCTACAGTAGCAGGATACAAGCTAGACAAGTTATATCCAGCAACTAGTTACAGAATCTCATCAGGACTACCATCTAAAGAAAGGTCACAACCACACCGTATAAAACCATAAATACCGCCAGTACTTATCAATATTCAACAGCCATAAAACAAGTCAGGACAAGCAAGAAGGACTAAATGTCAGCTTTCTGAACTTAATTTCCATTTTTAGGTACTGCCCTGTGACACAAAGGCATGGCATTACCATTAACATTTGAATGACCTATTCAATCAAATATGTTGTAGTGGTAAATAAAACCCCAAAATAAATAGCTCTGTAAATCTTGGACATTGGATCTCGACCACATTAGTTTTAATGGACTCGCCTAGCTGAAGGCGCTCGGTCATCCATCCGCACCAGATCACGAGTGGGAACGCTGTGCTCAACATCCCCTGCAATCGCTAGCCAGATTAAAGCAGTCGATCCACGGTATATTGATAGCCTATCAAATATATCTTCGAACATCCTCTATCTGTCTTTTTATTTCACTTAGTGAGTACGATTTATATTGGGTGTTACTGGTTAAAGCACTTTCAAACCCCAGATACCTGTGCCATCTTCAATGTAACTAGTAATATGAATCACTAAATGGTGATTCTTCACAAGGGTGCTGCGAACGGACTGATGTAACTTTATTTCCTAAATTGACTCAAGGGATATTCTCACGGAAGATGAGTCTGATGTATTAGCATAAGTCAAGTAGTTGAGAGTTTAGTTGAAGACCTTTTGCTGGTATTGAAATATTTGGTTACTTCCTTATTTTGCGCAAACATTACATTTCCTGTTATCTCGTATTGAATGTTGAAAGGTGTGTTTGTTTAAGTTTCACGATTTGAGTGAACATCTACTACAGCCATTAGTCACGCCTTTCCGACATGAAAAACAAGGGTGACTGTCAGCATGAAAGCTCTACACCTCAAATTTTATCAAGATGGAGGATAGATCTCAGGCCTAACTTCGCTTTTAGCGTACCATAGTTCGTTGTGTGTTCAAAGTATTACAGAACCTCCTGTTAGTTATGTCTATAACAAATCAAATCGTTGTTCAAGCACCCACCACGTTGATCTAGTCTGGTGTGTCTGTAAAGTATCCCTGTTGCATGTGGCCTGCAAGTTGAAAGACATCATTATCCTATTATATTAGCTTGACTCAAAATTTTTATTCATTTCGTAAGACATGCAATATTGGTCAGTATGTTTGTGTGTTTCAATTAGTGACTTTTATTCCTTTAATTATTGCAATAATTTACTTGTTTTTACATCTAGAAACAGACAGAGTTTAAAGCCAAGTTATCCTTGTTCAGATAACTGCGCTTTTCGAACGGGAAGTTTAGTCTTAACGTGATTTGCGTTTATCAAACTTTTGCTGTGTTCTTACGCAACAAAAGTACCATTTCAGTTCTAAAGAATCTATCCTGAGCTATACGTTCGGTAGATTACTTTTTTTTGAGTTTCACTATATTTAATAGTTACCTGTGGTTTTGCCTCAGCTTACTATTCGTTTTTTTTTGTTTTTCACGTATAGACTAGTTTCAGTTTATATCACTCGTTTTGTCCATTTTTGTCCGTTTTCAGTGTGCTTTTTAGTGTTTTTTTAAAAAGGTCTTAGGCTCTTGCAAGCATCTATAACATAATTTGCTTCAACACCGTCATGAAAAACTCATGCAAACGTCCGGGATGCCGTTTTGCTGTCACAACTGGCATGCAGTGCGACAACTGCAAAGGTTGGTTCCACGAAGCATGCACAGATCTGACAGCAACTGCTTACAACAGACTCAGCAAGTCAGAGCAAAAGTGGGTGTGTGTCACGTGCAACACAGACTCCGTAGTCTTGCTGAGTAACATCATTGTCCTATTGACATGTCTTCGGAACAAGTTGTCAGTTAACTCGGAAAACGATAGTAAAAAAACTGATATACAAACAAGAGCGTGCAACGGACTCAAAAACAGGGATGTCGATAGGTATTCCATCGATGGAGCATCCATCCACACTAACGACGACGTGTCGAGGCTCAGTACCATCATTACGTCGACGGTACTGAACTCCCTAGGCAAACTCGGGTCTCCCAGCTCAGGGTCCCCGAACACAACAGTGGTTGCCAAAAACCCTGCATGTGATTTGACCCACGTTAAGAGAGCCCAAAAGAACCAGGCATCACCGCCTAAGCCGAGCAACCCAAGTGTTGCTGCACGGAAAATAACTGGTAATTTAGTCGCACAGTCTACTCCCAAGACTGTTCGTCCGGTCAATAAAGAGCCCATGATTCATAAACGCACACTGACCTCCAAACAACAAGTTACTAAACCTGAACCCATCGTGAAACCTGGTAAATTAACAACAGTTCGTGACGACTCTCTCATTATCATGAACCTCGTTGACAATCCTGATCTTCATCTCAGTCTGCAGGACAAAAACGACAGGATGCTCTGGGGTGAATTGAACAAGAAGCTCGAACTTCCTAGAATAGAGCCTTTGACGGTCACCCGGCTCACTCGAGGAAGGGATTCTAAGCATCTAAATCACCCGAGGCTTCTCCGAGTAACACTTAAGGCTGCTACCGACGTAGAGGACGTCTTGCTAGCAAGCCACTTGCTGAAATCAGATGGTAACGTAAGAATACTGCCCGACATACCGTACTCTGAGCGCAGTATCATACGAAACGTCCCTAAAGAATCTCGCGAGAAGTTTTTCCGCGGAAGAAACATAATTGTGCAAGGTATACCGGAAAATGCAGAGCCTACTCAATCAAATTCTGACATCAGGGAATGGAAATTCATCAAACAGTCCTTGAGGCTCAAACACATACTGACTCAGCATGTGACGAGACTAGCCAAGAAGGACGGTGATCTTAGACCCCGTCTAATGAAGATAACCTTCCCATCTTCCCACATGGCGGCTGCAGTTCTGGAAGCATTTCGTGCTAATAGACGTCGATTGCCACCTGGAATCCACATGCACCCGGATAGGCCATACGAAGTTAGGACCAAGAACAAAGACAAGTTGGAGCTGACCATTCCACTTGTGGACTGTCTAAACGATAAAAAAACGTGTAAAGGACAGGGCCTACCACCTCGGCAAACCTCACATAGGTGGGCTACCTGTCCATTCACATAAGGTTCATACAGAAAAACAGGACGAAGCTCACGCGTTCCAAATAGAAAGCATAAACTGCTTATATATGAACACCGCGAGTCTACCAAACAAACTGGATGAACTACGTGAACTTAGCAACGCTAATAAGGCCCATCTGATAGGAATATCTGAAACCTGGATATCTTCTCAGTTCTCGGACCAAGAGTTAGCACTGCCTGGGATGACTTTGTTCCGCAACGACAGAAAAACAGGAATTGGGGGTGTAGTAGCCATATACATAAGCTCTTGCTTGGAGGCGCACCAGGTTCACAACCTCGAGTTTAACAATCTTGAGGAATCCATATGGTGCTCTGTAAGATTGTCTAGTACTTCCAGGTGTCTAGTCGGAGTCATTTACAGGAAGCCAACTGCCGACACCGAGTACGATAGTCGTATGCTGGAAGGACTATCCCGCTCTATCCGTCTCGGTTTCACACACATCCTGATTCTAGGGGACTTTAATCTCCCTAGAGTCAACTTCGCGGAACACACGTACACTGGAGGCGACAACTCAATTGAAGCTCGGTTTCTCAACCTCATCGATGACTTGGGCTTATATGAAAATGTGAGGTCGGCAACTCGTTGGAGAAACAGTCAGACACCATCGCGCTTAGACTGTGTATTCACTAACGAAGAATTCCTAGTCGACAACCTCTCAATCCTGACTCCTCTGGGAAAAAGCGATCATGCCGTCATAGCCTTCAGTTTTGTCATCAAAACTAAGCTAAGGTATCCCAACAATAATTTGCGTTGGAATTTTAAACGGCTGAATGTGCCAGCTCTACATGACTATCTACAACAGGTGGTTTGGGATGTTCACCCTCAACTCGATGTGGATGGTCATTGGGACTTCTTACTGCACACGCTCTTATGTGCTACAGACCATTCAGTTCCTCAAACGGTTCCCAAAAGCTTCAAGCCACCTACAGTAATCAAGAACCGTACCCTTCGCCTCCTAAGCCGCAAACGGCACTGTTGGGCGGAATACAAACGAACTAATAACGATGGAGCGTATAGGCAATACAAACATATCAGGAACACATGCACGAAGGCTATAAGAGAAGACAGGCTTCAGTACCAAACAAAGCTTATGGACAAATTCGCCTCTAACCCTAGAAGCCTATTCCGTTATGCAGCCTCTCTTCGTCAAGCCAAAACAGGAGTTTCTCAACTGCTAGGTCTTAACGGCCCGACCAACAACGATGGCGACGCCGCTAACCTTCTGGCGGCCCATTACTCTCAAACATTTCAACCGGCTGACATCAACTTTATTGACGACAGTTTCATCTGCAATTCCACAGGACTTTCTGAAGTGGACCTAAGCGCTGACTTGGTGTTCCGGAAATTGCAGCACTTAAGACTTGACACTTCTCCTGGCCCGGATATGGTTCATCCTGCCATACTGAGGGAGGCAGCCTCAATCCTGGCAACGCCGCTTAGCGTGATGTTTTCACACTCGCTTAGCCGAGGCAAATTACCGGAAAACTGGAAGTTGGCTCACATCACACCAATTTTCAAAGGTGGTCGACGCAATGAACCTTCAAGTTATCAGCCGGTGGCTCTTCTGTCATTACCTTCAAAACTCATGGAGTCCCTGATATGCGACGGTTTAAATGACTATCTACTGTCCTTGAATTTCTTCTCACCCCAACAGCATGGTTTCAGGAAGGGTTACTCTTGTATAACCAACCTGCTGACTGCGGTGGACAAATGGACAAGCATCCTCGATTGCAAGGGAAAGGTTGACGTCATTTACCTTGATTTCTCAAAAGCTTTTGATAAGGTTAACCACTTGTGTCTTATCAACAAGCTCAAACGACTAGGTATCAAACCACCTCTAATCGATTGGCTTACTTCATACCTAAAAAATCGACACTTTAAGGTTAGGGTTAATTTCACTTTATCTCAGGCTATGGAATGTCC